AAAAAAATTTTATGAAGCTAAAACTGCAGTAGAATATTTTTAAAACGAATAAAAACGGTATGCTGGTATTACCGTGGTTGTGTACCTATTACCGTGTACGTATTACCGCGGATGTATAGGGTTATGTTTACGTACGCTCACCGCGGAAATACGTACACAATCAGTTAATGAGCGCGTTGTACCGAATACCGTGGAAAATAATTATTTACTCAAAATATACACAAATATTTCTGTTTGAATTGCATCTACATTAACGTCATTTTAGATTATTAAAATTGAAAAATTATTTTATATGAAACATTTCTTATTTTGAGCAAGTAATCATCAGTTTTTCAAAATCCACGGTAATAGGGCAGAGCACGGAGATAGGTACACTTACCCCCTTAGATTAGTTGTTAAGTGTTATTAAAGAGTTCATGAACATTAAACTGTTAGTATTTTCTCTGCACGCACTTTTCCTTTGGCGGCAACGCCGAACCATCGCAACGACATCCAAATATACAAGCAATACACACACGCAAATCTAACAAAGTTTGTTGACATTGATAAAAGCATAAGTATATGGGTTTTGTATAATCGTACAGGAACAATATGATACATAAGCTTTTGCAAACAACATTTATGTACACGAGTTGCAAAGAGCTCACAATTTTCCACGCTATATATAATAATAACAATTTTTTGAGCCATGAGTACCTTCATGCGGGTGTAATTAAATACGTTATTATTTACGACTCCGTTGACGGCACGAGGTATGTGATTATGATTACGACACCTCAAATAACATTAATAATGAGATATGCAAGCGGAAATCTAAGTAACGTAACTGTATTTAATTTTTTTTTATCAATGGCCAAAGTAACAGTTTTATAAATACAGCTGTACTGAAAAGTACATTAAGTATATATACATATAGTTTTCAAAAAAAACGCACGGAACATACAATATATTGTATGTACAAAAATGTCCATGTCAATTAATCGCGTTGTTAGAAAAATGAGAGATATTACTTACATTTGAATTCTGCAGAATTTTTGCAGTAGGATGGTCGTCCCCGAGGCTGAAGGTTACCGAAATTTTGAAACCGTCAAAAGTTTTCGATCCCGCCGGGGATGACGAGTTATTCGGCAAACTTTCGTCCCATTGATTCTTAGAGACGCTCATTTCGGGTATTTATATTTTTATTCTGTTAAACAAATCAGAGTCCAAAAAGAAAAATCAGCACACGGTTGCGGCTCCACTTTACTTGGCCCGAAGGACTAAAAATAACGTTGTATTTGTGTTGTCGCTTGAAAGATTCAGTACGAAAGGATACATCCTAGAAGACATTCCGACTATTCCGAGAGAAAGACACATTTGCTAAAATCTCAGGTGGGGATTTTACTTTTACGTGATTAGCTATATTTAAATGTTATATAATTACCTTGCCTACCGCCCTGTTAATGGAAGCTATATAAGAAATATTTTGCAAATTTTTCGATTTAATGCAATTAATAGTTTGGTTTGATATCCATTTCACGCAAATGCAGTGGTTAATGACAATTTGATCGAGGTTTGTTAAAATTTTTCAATTGATTGGTTAAATATTTCATCGTGATAAAACAACAGTGTTAAAATATACTTGAAGATTAAATTTTGTTAAATATTTCCAAAATTTTTTTTGTTGAGGCTTTGTACAGTTGATTGTTATTTTCTCAAGATTTTTTTTTGCAATATATCAACTGTAGAAATCAGAAATCTCTTAGCTGATACTTTTTTTTTTTTTAGTTGTAGTAAAATTAAAATAAAATCTAGCAACAACGAAATTCTACTATTTTACACTGAATGAATCATGATGCATAAATACTTTTATCGATTTGTATTTTTATTTATCAATTGACATACATTGAAAGGACATACTTATAGTCGGTACAGCGTGTATTGTAATACGCAACTTAAATGCAAATAAAAAAAAAAAAAAACATACAAAACACCGTAATTCACATAATCTCCTTAATTGTTGGGGTATTACAAAAACATTGTTTTCTCCCACAGTTACACATGTACAACAACATATTTCATACATATACGTATTTATATTTTTTGTGCAATGAAAAACGGGTGAAAAATGAAAAACAAACATTTTTTTCCACGGGCGAGGTAAAAAAATATTTGTATGAAAATACGTATTTTTTTCTAATACGCTACTGATGGTAGAATATTTTTAATTTACAAAAGTTTTAATAAAAAATTGGATACATTGTACAGTTGAGCATCTGATGAAATGTTTCTTGAACTAAATTATCAAGATCATTTATGAGAGAGCAAACCAACCACGTACTTTTGGAGTAAATGTAGCACAGTACATACAAAAATAATATGCTACTATCATAAGTAACTTATTTTTCATGATAGAAATGATTAAAGTAAGTTGGCTCTGGAAACATTGTGTACTTGGTTATGAGAATCAACCATTAATAAAATATATTAGATTTAAATTCTAAGAACAACAGTGTAACACCACAATTTCCAGAGAACGTTACTTTTAACCCTTATTTTTTTTTTTACATAGATTTCAACATGTTATAATTTATTCTTATTGCCACTGGGAGAATATACATTTATCATACAGAACAAGTATTAAAAAAATATTTTTTGTCTTTTGTTGATTTTACAAAATTTGTAACTACTGTTTATGAAGTTTTATTGTCAAAAACAAGTTATTCGTTAAATTCATGTGAAAATATTTAAGAAAATAAAAATGCAATCATACTCGGAGGAAAAAATCTATAAAATCATGGCAAGTGGTATTTATTATAAGTTTATATGAATATTTGTACTGAGATAATTAGTTTTATATTTATGATATACTAAATATGCTGACATTTCAAACAAAATTTTTTTGTATTATATTTACAATAAAAATTAAGATAATGCTTTATAAATGCTGTGCTTTCTGTACCTATACATAGTTCAACATCAGATAAATATTTTTTAGTTCAAAAAGTTTTTTCTCCGAGTTAATTGAAATAAAAAAAATCAGTGATTTTAATGAACTACATTGATAATACATAAAGTTTTCATTGACAATAATTATTCAGATCCTTTTAACTTTCTCAGCACTTACCTTTCAAAATCTTAAATAAAATCGTTTAAGTTTTGAAATGAAATATAGTCTTGAATATTGTATTGTGGCAAACAAAAAAAGTTAAAAAATTGAAAAATATTCAACATACATGATTAAACGCTACTTATCGTTGGATATTTTCTTTAGACTGCCACGACGATCCAGCTAGCTCTACCTCAGCTGTTGTAGAGTATTTAAAAATAATATTGACTAATCTATGGACGAATCTATCGTCAGCCTTATAGCTTCTCGTTCTCCTCTTCTTCGTTAGCTTCCGCTTCCTTTGAGTTTATTCGCTTTTGTTCTTCAGCAACTTCAATGTTGGCGGTTTTCAAGCCAATGCTAAGATCGTTCCAGGGCTGAACTTCAGCTGAGCCGAAAATCCAGAAAAGTAGGGTTGCCGAGGCGAATACTATCGATGAGATCCAGAACATAACACGCCATTCCAGCATCCCATTCTAATTTCAAGATGAAAAAACGGTTCACGAAAAATTCGTACACATCACTTTAGAACCACATTTTTTCGTGGAAAAAAAATTATTCTTACATGTTCGTTGATGAGAACACCGAGTATCGCAGGAATGATAAAACCAGAGAAGCTGCCAAAGGTATTCATGATGCCGTACAGTGATCCAGCAAAGTTGGGGGCGAGGTCCTGGTGATTCTGCAGACTCGTCTGGCAAGCCGCTCCATTGAAGGTCAGAGCAAGTGTCATCATCGCTATCGCCGTAAAGCGGTTGCAACCAGCATACGAAATCAGGATCAGGCAAATAGCAGGTAGAACGTGTGCTAGGAGCAAAAGAAAAAAAAAGATTTGATGAGATAATAGGTATGGCATACTGGGAAAATTTTTAAGGAGCGTCAGAGCTTACAGAAGATCATGAATATGCGACGGATCCAACCAGTAGTCATAACGCTCTTTCTACGACAAAAGTCGCCTGCTAATGCGAACAACACACCAGCCAGAAGTCTTGTGATGTATGGTAAACCAGTCAGTACTCCGGCCTTAAAAAATCATATTAAAAGTAAAAAAAGGCTCATATTTTCTGTTAAAAATTTCAAGTATGAGCTCACAGCATGCTCACATTTTTCATGTCAAAACCTAAAATTTCC